TGTGTGTGTGTGTGTGTGTGTGTGTGTGTGTGTGTGTGTGTGTGTGAAATACGCCGCGTCCACATTCTCTCTCCCCTCTCCTATCTCCAATATTCTGAACGTAAAGCTACGTTGATCCTCTTGCGGTTTACCAACGTTCAGTTTACGATTGCTTTTGCATTAAGAAAGAAGAAGCGAGAAATGCCGTGTAATATATCCACTTGTTTTTATTTAAATTCGTTATTGTTTGTAATTTTACGAAATAACACGTGAGAGAGGAAGAAGAAAGTGTGAAAAGAAACTTTTAACAACACTCGTGTAATCAATAATTACTTATACACGTTTATTTTAAATCCGGAAGTAAGAATTTTTCTTTTCCTTTTCCTTTCTCTGGTCGTATTTGTTGTTTCTTTAATGTATACATATTTTTGTTTTGTTTTACTTAGTTTTATCACATCATAATGTGTAAATGCGCGTGTGCATCTCTGTTTATGTGTATGTGTACGATTTATCGTTAGTTATTATTGTTTGAATATAATTTATTTCTTTGGTGTACATTTTATCTTAGATCTTTGCATATTTTTTGTTTTGTTTTGTTTTCACTTTGCTTAGAGACACACGCAATGTGTAAGTGTTAATTTAATTAATACTATATATCGGATTATATTTATCGGAAAAAGATCTTGTACAAAGAGTACTCACGTTTGATGAAATATTTTCTATCTCATCTTATTATATATACTTTTTTTCTATTTATTTATTAATCAAATTTATATTTAGAATATGGCGGTCACAAGATTTACGAACAAAATGTTTCACCGTTTGTTGTATGACTCATATAACACAGTATAAGATCTACGAGATATTTGTATTTGTATTTCGTGTTTATTTTTTTTTTTTGTTTTTTTCTTTCTTTCGTACAATTTCAAATAGTGCGCCTTCATTTTTGTTTTAACCGTGTTTTCTTGTTTTATTTTTTATAAAAAAAAAAAAGGAGAAAAAAAGTACGTAAACTTTCGATTAAAAAGTATAAGTCTTTACACTTTACATTCGATGTGTATTTATTATTATTATTATTATTTTTATTATAACACTTGTGTGTCGGATTAACGATAAGAATAATTTATTGTACGTGTATTATGACGCGAATTAATTTTTTTTTGAATCAAAGAAATTCAAATAACGCACTTATACGATAAATCTATCCACCTTGAATATCACCTTCGTTTGCAAACGTATTTGTAAAAAAGTAAAAAAAAAAAAAAAACAACTTCTAAGAAAAATTGTGCACTGTTATTGCAAGTCGGGGACATCTAATGATCGAAAGAATTCTTTCTCAAGGTCATTCTTTTACGGAATTTTAAAATAGAATTTTTTTCAAATGATCTACACATGATTAAGTTTAATTATTTATACTGAAATATTAAAATGTGATGGATTACTCTCATTACAGTCTTGTAATTGTATACAAAACAATCTTTTGCAATAATTTATTCCAAAGGAAGACGTATAAAATATTTGTGCGTATGTGTGTATGTGTGTGTGTGTGTGTGTGAATAAATTTTACGTAATCATATTAGATGACTGAACTAGCACACGCGGCACGTGCTTTTTAAAGATTTCTAGGCCAATCATAATAAATGTTAATAAGAAAATATTAGTTTTTAACGAATGACTGTTTAATTTTTTAAAACTCTAACACGTTTTTTTTCTTTTTATTTGAAAAATACGTAAACTCAAAACTCCCTTTTTCTGTTTCTTTTTTTTTTTATCTTAATTAGTATAAGCATACATAGAAAAAGTAAAAAAAAGAAAAATAAAATAAAATTAAAAAGATGGCGATACATCTAAAATACATAAAAGATAAAGAACATTTAAATGGTACCTCAAACGTTTGTTATCAGTTATTTGGTCAATAATATATTATCTCATTTTACAACAGTATTTTTTCTTTTTCTTTTTGATAATAGAATCATTTCAGTCACACAATTAAAAGAACAAAAATTGGTATAGAAGAAATTGATTTTTCATTAATACTTTAAATGATAATACAATGTTCGAACATATAATATTGTATACGAACAATGTTGATTATTTTTTTCTAATATTTATACAATATTGAACATTGCTGTTGATAATGGAATTATAAATAAAAAGAGTGATGGGAAAAGGAAAAATATAAGAATAACGTTATTTTCTATGCAATTATTTTGATAGAACACATAGAACTAGCATAATTCGTTATTAATAAGTACAGATCGATGGCGTGACTGTGACCTTGACAATGCGCTACCGTTATTTTCCGATAAACCTTAACGTTGTATAGCATAAGGAAATATAGCCTAATGTATAAATGTGCATTTTTTGAAAATATAAAATCATTTGTATATATTTTTTTTTTGTAGTTATATATTTCAATAATATATTATAGTCTCAATTTTAAAATATAAATAATATTTATTATATAGATTGTAAAAGGTTTGATTTGCATATTGTTGAATTTTAAATTATTGGTTTTTTTTTATTGACTAAAAAAAAAAATTTAATTACAATATTTATATTTAATTATTCGAATTGAATATTCTCTTTACAATTTTGATTATACTCACCTATTTGTGAGTACACAGCGTCATTGAGGGTCCCGCAACAAATTGAGAAAATAAAATCAATTAATTCTCTTTTTTTAATTATTATTATAATAAATTAATATGTATGTGAATAAGTATTGATTGAATGAATGAATGAATTAATTAACAAGATATACCTTCATTTTATATTTTTATAAATTTTTAGAAACCTCTCTACTTTTAGGAATATAAAAACTGGTCTGACGTCGTGTATATGCTAATAAAACTATGATTGATTACAGGATTTACAACGTGATATATACAACGGTGTGATAAGGCAAAACAAAAAACAAAGAAAACATTTTCTTCAACGTCGTCGTCTTTGTCATCTTCATCTAAAAACAGTTTCTTTTCGTTACAAAAAAAAAACTTTAAAATTATTCACACGAACTGAACACCCAAAAAAAAAATGTTTCAATTATCCTTGAAGATTCTACTTGCTACGTTGATGTTTGGTAAGATTGATAGTTTTTTTCATTTATCGAATCATTTTTGACAAGAACAAAATTTTTAATATTCATTTTTCGTACGTCTCATTTAAACTGATAAAAAAAAAAAAAAACAACAACACATTAACATTTTAATACGAAACAAACGCTTTGTATGGTCATAACAATAGAAAGAAGAATGTCTAATTATTTCATAATGATCTATTATTAAATGTTAATTAGATAGCAATTTAAAATGAATAATAAACGTGTGTGTATAAGAAGGAACGATAAAAACAGATCGTACGAAAGATGAATAATAATAATAATAAAATATACCTAATGGATATATATGTATATCTCTTTTATCAATTAAATTAACTTCTGCATTGATCAAATGTAATTTCTATCAATTGATTTTGACTATGTGATCTCTATACCTCAACTTTTATTTTCTGTTTTTCTTCAGTGAATTTAGTATTCACGACTCCCGTCGAAGATTCTAATCTTGTTACGAAGAAATCGATAAACATGGTATTTTCAGCTGATGTAGAAAATATTACAAATGAGCACAAGACATTTAGGGAAAATAAACATTTGAAAGAAGGTAATACAAATGTAACACTTAACTCGATAAATCATCCAAAAACATCGTCGAATATAGGAGGTACGTATTATTATCTATACAAAATATTATTTGATTATGATATTGATTAAATATTTCTTTTCGTCGTTGATAATAGTATTTTTATTCAAAATGATGATCAAAACAGAATCATCAACGAAGACATTACCTGCAACGTTTCAAAATAATTCAAACCCTATCCCTCCGGTATTGGAAAAGAAAAAGGATGATGATGTTAATCAAAATGCAACGAAACGACCGGTCGAAGAAACAACACCTATTAATCAAGTAACTGAGATTAAAAATGCAAGTGATTTTACAGGAGAACAAAAAGATTTGATCGGAGTATCCGTGTCTCCTCGAGACGAAGAAGACGTTACGACAATTGTTCCCACACTATTGGATAAAACTAATTCGTCCGTTGTCAATGTCACAGGTAAATGAAATTATTTATATTCTATAACAACATTTAAAATAGAATCGATGATCATTAATCCATCTTATTTTTTATTTTATTTTTAGAAGCTACTATATCATCATCATCGTCACTTTCACCAGTATCATCAACAACATCAGCATCATCTACTACCACGTTGAAAAGTATCAATGAGACGACTCCTGTAGACGATGTTCCAATTAAAAAGGAAAAACCTGATAGTGAACATAAGGACAAAGTAGAAAATACAACCTACCAGATAAATACTTCTACTACTACTACTACTGCTACTGTATCGAGTAACATAACAACAGAAATGAAAGAATCATCGAGTGTGACATCAAGTAAATGAAAATGATTATTTTTAAAGCATATATACGATCTATGTTTATTATTATTATTATTATTATATTTCTTTAGAATCTACAGAGGAGGTAACTACCGTCGTGTCTTCCGAGAGCGATCAGGTGGAAATTGGAATTAGTACTGAGGTGGTAGAGAAGAAGAAAAATGTCGTAGAAGAGAAGATTGAATTGAATATAAAAAGCAAACCATTATCTGCTAATGAAAAAGATAGCAATGGAGGTATGCCACCTGGTATTATTGTATTGGTAACGGCATTCGTATTTGCTGTTACAATCGTTATTGGATATATCAGTATGGTTGTATGGAAGCAATATCTCCAGTAAGTACAATATGATTTACACATATTTATTTCATATCAGATCTCTTATCTCGTTAATACTTTAAATTATTTATAAATTGAAATCATTTTTCTTTTTTATTGTTTTCTCTTATCGATTATTTACTCGATAAACTGTTACAATTTTATTTTATTATTATTTTTGATTTTTCTTTTTTTTTTTTTTAGACACAGATATGGACGACGAGAATTATTGGTGAACGAGTTAGAATTTGATACGAACGATCTGAGACATTTTGAGGTATAATATATTTATAATCTAATAGTGTTAATTTTATTCTTTATAACAATCTATTGTAATTATATATTATTGTTTTTTAGCTTTGACTTGGGGAAAAACATGAATGATAATTATCTGATGTGTGCTTGCCGAGTCATACGCAGATCATGAGGTAACTCACGATTCGTATTGCAAGTTTCCTGAGATAAAGGAAGTTTTAAAAATCTGTGATATCGCGTATATATAATAATAATAGTAATAACCGATTTTTTACGTGTGTGGAATATAATCGGTGTGTTACAACTACAAAACAACATATGTACTATACTCGAATATTTTAGTTAGTACTATTTTCCTATGCAAGTTTATGCTTGTTCCTATATATACTTAAAATCATATCATTTTAATTCATTTTAAGAAACAATTTTTATTTTTATCGTATTATTAAAGTATTATTAATTATGTTAGAGATAAAACAAACATAAGGATTGATTGTAGATTTGAAAAGAATTATTTTATATACACCAGTTTCATCAATATTAATTATTATATTACATGCAGGACACTAACAAGACAACGAGTGAGCATTTCATATGAATGCTAGGTTTTAGAATTTTACGATTGATAAAGACGTCGTGATTATTTCTTTTAAGTAAAACTGTGTAACCGAAAATATAAATAGTATTAACAAAGGCAACAGTACTGTTCATGCTAATGATAAAAATAATTAGTTTCTTTTCTACGATATGCTTTAGTAGGTGTACATATTTCAAAAATGATAATAATAATAAACCTCGTACGTTATTTTTTTATATGAGATACGTTTTATTTGATTAACTGTTACCCAAATTTAATGGCAATTGCTTAATTAACAAAAATATAATTTTAAATAATATTATCCAAGAATAACAATGTGTATGTCTTATATTTTTCTTGAGTATTCATTTATAAATTATTTTCATGTTTTATTTCAATAATTAATTAAATAACATGCGTACCTTATTTCTTGATAATTAACCTTTTCTATTCACCCTTGGTATTATAATAAGGCGCTACCTATAGAAAATAAGAAGAAGTTTATTGTTTTGTAAGAGATACATAATTATTCTGTATCTTTAAGAATTTCTTGTTTACTAACTGTATGGAACAGTACAGCATATATGTACCACAGGTACTTTAATAACGGACAGTAAACATTTAGTTCTCTTTCTTTACAACCAATGGACCAACATTATCGTTGGTTTCATTATTGTGAGCTCCATGAGATCCATCGCAGTACGGCCACTGTAATAAAGAAATATTTTTAATCTTTTAATAATCTTTTATATCTACTTTTTTTTACAATACTAATCGTATAACACACAAAACAAGAGTTTATAGATAAAATAATAAATCTTACTGCATATGTTACATAATGCTAGTTTCATAACCGAAATATTCTTGGATAAATTTAAACTAGGTCATATACAAAAGTTGCAATTTATAAACAGCACGCATTTTGATCAGAGAGCATAGATATTAAAAACATTGTTTTAGAAAACTTACATTTTTAGTCCTCCAGCAACGACAGAAAACAGCTTTTTCTGATAAATCTTCGACATCAATAACATCGACTACTTTATTAACGTCTTTCTTAATACAAGGATTTATTACACCACATGGCTGAAACAAAAATTATATTAAGTTGTCGTTAAGAAATTGTGAAAGAATATATAAGCATATAATATATTTATAAAATCATGTGATTCATTAAATTAGTCATACACACAGATATAAAAATAATATATACATAAAAATATGTCATTCCAATTGTTACATATATATTTTGATATTTATATTTTGGTTCATCTAGAAAACTTTTCACAGTCTAAATAATAGCGAGTACAAAAATGAGTCTTACATAATCAACATAACTAAATGATACAGGCAGAGTAGAAAATATACACATTAAAGAGTTGTCGTGACGTCTTTTCTCTTTTATGATTTTGTAACAGGTAGGTTGCTTACCTTCGGTCTTGCACGAGGACAAAATGCTTTGTACGAAATATAACCAATGCCGGCCATTAAAGCTGTGGGTGGAATTAACGATGCCCAATCGGTTACTGTATCAAAGCAAAAATATCACATTTTTATTTTATTTGTTTTTTAATATCATTCAGCAAGTACAAGGAGCATAGCATTACACGTTCGCGACATACGATTGCCATACTGCAAAGTCATCCTAACGAAATGGACTTTTATTAACGAGAAAATAAATGATATACCAAAAAAACCCACGGGAAATTAATTAAATAATTTATATCACTTACCACCGAGTCTGAACCATCCTCCTATCGTTTCTGGAATTGGTAATCCAGCTAAATAATTTGGTATTGATACTTTCACAAACCGTGCTATTGGCTCCATATTTGCTTTCACTACTGACGAAGTCAAGTCACGCTTAGCAATTCGAACGTCCTACTAAAATAATTTTATGAAAAACGATCATTATCTCAGTTTTTCGAATAAACACAGAGATAATAAAAAGACAATATGGAAATTTCCGCTTTTAAATGATACATCATTATTCGTTGACTAATTCGAAATGATAATAACGTTAATGTGTTTCTAACATTTTATATCTAATGTCGTCAACATTATTCATTTTAAAATTTACACTATAAAAATAAATATTTTTTATTAATTCTATAATAACTTTATATATTTACTTAATAGTTAAAAATAAAATATAAAAATGATAATTAATCGTATTAATGAGATTTAAAAGTAATAATAATTATTATAAAATGAAGTAATGAAAACAAAAAAAGAAAAAAACGCGCTGAAAGAACCGACAACAGAATTCAAATTACCGATCACATAATCCAGTTACATCATTGGACTGCCACATAACAATACATTTGTTTTCCTTTACAGGAATATCATCGGTTATGGCAAGAGTAACTAGTACTTACATTAAAGGAAAAGAAAGAAAAAGAAAAAGAAGAATAAGAAGAAGAAGAAAACAAAAAATTAAAACAAAAATAAAGAAATCAACCGAATAGAAGAGAATATTTCCTAAAAAAGGATAGTTGCAACTAGGCCAAAAATTAAATAAAAAATAAATTTAATAGTAAAAGAAAGAAAGAGACAGATATATATTACTAACTCGAAACATCAAGTGATTCGTTAATTCGAAAGGAGAAGTACTCGTTCGATTGAGTAACGTAGTAGACTGACAGAGTAGAGTAGTAGGGGAAGAAGGAAGGTATGCCGTCTTGAGAGTGGCGCCATCGTGCAGTTGCAAGCCGGTCGCCGGGCAGGAAAGAGTTATACTTGTTCCTTTTTTTTTTGTTCTCTTTCTCTCTCTCACATATATATGTTATGTGTATATGACAAATACACGCTTGCATAGAGATATATATATTTCATACATAAAATTTACAGAAGTATATATATGCATATATATATATATATACACATACATATACATATGACATGTAAATGATGAGCTGTGCGTCGTCGTGAGTCGCTAGTCGCCGCCAAGGATAAACGTCGTTGGTCGTCGCGACGCCGCGTAGTGCGCGCAGGTATATACATACATACATACATACATACATACATACATATATATATATATATATACACATTGTATATATTTCTCTTTCTCTTCTCTCTCTTTCTTTCTTTCTCATTGAAAAACATAAGGGAGAAGAGCGTGTCGCAAAGGAGCATTTGCTTCGGTAGAGTTAGGGAACACACGCGAGTGCACGCGGGAGTGGCAAGGAAAGAGTTGAACGAGTCTTCTGTTCCTTTTGGTGTGTCTACCCTCTCTCTCTTTCTCTTTCTTTCTGTTGGTAGCTTCGCGTACGAAAGGCTACGCGTCGCCGGGCGTCCGTAAGGAAGGAAGGAAGGAAAGAAGGAAAGAAGGAAGAAGGAAGAAGGAAGAAAGGTAAGGGAAGGGAGAAGAAGGATAGATAGATAAATAAAGATAAATAGAAAGAAAGAAACATAATAGCATATATATAATAGATCATTAAGATAAATAGAGAGAGAAAAGAGATATGAACTTATATGCAGTGTGTGTATATCGTGGGGAATAAAGTCATTTATTTCGTATATCTTGGACGGTGCAGTGCGCGAAAAGTGCGAGAGAGCAAATCGTGTCGTTTCTCTCTCTCTCCCTCTCTTCTTCTTTTTCTCTTTCTCTTTCTTTTTCTTTCTTTCTTTCTTTTATTCGCGCTCGCGCGTGACTGTGTGTGGCGGGTATCGCGTAAAAACGAGAAACGGGAAGAGAGACTGTGATACAGGAATACTGACTGCATAGTAGTGAAAAGGAGAAAGAAGAAAGAAAAGAGAAAGGTCAAAGAAGAAGAAGAAGAAGAAGAAGAAGAAGAAGAAGAAGAAGAAGAAAAAGAAGGAATCGTGGGGTGTGCTGATGCTAAGTTAGGGAAAGGGGGTGGGGTAGGAATGGACAACCGAACAAGAGAAAAGAGAAAGATAATGAAATAGAATAAGATAAAAACGAAAGATAAAAGGATAAAAAAAATCAAAAGAGAAACGAAATAATGAACAACGACTAGGACTAGGAATTTAGGACCCTACGATTAGGACAACGACGACGACGAAGCAAAGGAATAATAAATCAGTGACAACAAGGAATATATATACATATATATACGATAAACAACGACACGATTTTACATGATAATAAAGTGCGTGTATAATAATAATAATAATAATATTAATAATATTAATAATTACGTGCGATTGTTAATAATATTATCGCGTGAAAAGGGTTGAATCCTTACAAATGACAGGAAGGTGATCAATGTGCACGAAATATGGCTGAGGAGTTGGTGGTCACCCTGAACCGCGGCGGTGACTCCTCTGGATTTGGTTTCTCCCTTTTGGCAACGGCGGGACTTCCTCACATTATTTACGACATCGTTGAAAACTCGCCGGCTGCTAAGTGTGGAAAGGTGAGTAGTTTTATACATATTACATAAATATATTCATAATTTTTTTTATTCACTTATATATTACGATTATTATATTGAGTTGTCCGAAAAGTTCGTGCCGATTTTGATGGAAGATTGAAATGCAATGCATTCAAGTTTCTTTTTTCTTTTTTTGGTATAGGTATATTTATTAAATTATATATATAAGTGTCATTCTATTCTACAACCCTTTCTCCATCTTTAACAGGTAACTTCAAAATTTCCTCCTTCCAGAACTTCTCAGGTTTTTTTTTTTAGCAAAAAAACTCTTTATGCCACTTATCGAAAATTGGTACGAACTTTTTCAAACCACCCGATATAACAATAATTATTATTATGTTATATGTAAAAAGAAAAGTATATGATTTAGAATTTTGTTTTAGGTGATTTTTGTTAGATGACGTGTATTATTTACTTGTATAATTAACTGTTAACTACCCCGTGTGCATCCTTTTCTATATATGTTTCTTTTGATTTTTCATTTTTAAAGAGGGATGAAGGATGGAAGGAAGGAAGAGAGGAGGGTGGTGGTGGTGGCAAACCCTGTCGAAAGTCCTGCGAAAGCGCCGAGAGTGAGCTCGAAATAACGCCCGTTGTATATCGACCCGCGTTTATTATCGCGAGCGCACCCTCTGTGTAGTTCATCCTAACCGATTTCTTATATATTTTATTATTCATTTATTTGATTTGACATTTAAATTTTGGTAAACATAAATCGCGGGGTGTGTTGAAGAAGAAGAAGAAGAAGAAGAAGAAGGGAAGAAACCACCTACCCCCTTCCCTCTTCCCGATGATCGTTTTACTCGGTCGTTTTAACGGCCACATTCCAAGCCCTTCAGCCGGTCTTTCGACCCTTCTCTTTTTCTCCCCCCTTTCCTTCCCTTCATGCCCTTTTTTCTCTCTCTTATTCCTTGTTCGGTTCTCTTCTTTCATTCTTYCTTTCTCTTTTCTTTATATCTGCTTTCTTTTTCTGAGAATTGAATATAAGTACACAGTGATACACTCTATATACTTTGATGCTAAGATGAGGATTACAAGGATGAGAATTATGTTGATGATGATGATGATGATGATGATGATGATGATGATGATGATGATGATGATGATGATGATGATGATGATGATGATGATGATGATGATGCTTAACATAATCCTCGAGATGTTATAAGAGTTGTATTTTCTTCAATCAATTACTTTCTTTTTTATTTATATTTGTTTATTTAATTATTTTGTTGTTTTGCTAGTTACTTGATTTTATTAGCAAGAAAATAACGTATATGATAAGATATTGATAAGAGATTAATATTTATATACTTGCATTGATATGATTTGATTTGATTTGATTTGATTTTATATTATATTATATTATTTTACTTTACTTTTTTTACGTTCTTTTTTCTATTTTTTTTTTTTTGGCTAATCTTCTTTTGTATTTTCGTGTATTTTCTTATCTTGATTTTAGGTTTCTTTTAGTAAGGATTCCATTTCGTCCTACATTTAAAAATCGTATTACTTTTTTCCACCACCCATCTTACCGTCGATTACTCTTGCTTAATCCTTTCACCAGTTTTACTATTTCCGGTTCTTGGTTATTTCATACTCATATATATGTATATATGTATGTAAGTGTTAGGTATATCTTGATAAGTTTTGTTTTTCTTTTTATTTCATCGATACGATTTAATATTTTATCTTTTGATTGTATATATTATTTATAAATGAAGGTTACGTATGATAATAATTCTTATACTCGTTGAATAACTCGTTTCAAGTTTTTTTTTATTTATTAGGATGATATATTTTAATCATTTTTGTATTTTAATTTCTTTTTTTTTTTTTTATATACATAAAAGTTAGGTTTTTATATGTATATATCATTTATTTTACGAGTTTGTGTTGCTTTTTTCTGGTTTGCGTTATTTCATACTGATACACATTGTATAACTCGCGATAAGTTTTATACTTCATCTGTAACGTTTAATTAATTTTCTTATCTCTTTTAATATATTTTTTTTTTTCTATTTTTCATAAGTATAAATAAAGTATATGAATGATCTAATGTAAATTTATCGTTATTATCCGTACAATCATATTTTATAATTACTATAATTTACTTTATTTTCTTTATTTTATTACATTAAATAGTATCAGTGTATTAAAATTAACATAATTTAAATTCTTTAACAATAAAATTATTATTAAACATTCCATAAATATCTTTGTTCTAAATTTCAATTCAATTTTACACACGTATTCCTCGAACATATTATAAAGAAAAGAAATATGATTTGACAAATGATTGTTTACGTTTATGAACACCTTTTTTAAACAAAAAAAAAAATAGTTAAAAGGATATAATAGATTTCTATTATATTCTCAACCATTTTCTAAAAGTTATTCGAAGCTGCATAATACCAGGTGCGCAGTATCAATTTATAGTAGCTGATTCATAAAAGTCTTCTCACTCTTATGTTGTCTCGTGACCTTCCAAAATAAGTCGGAATTTTTTGTTCTATTCATATATATATATATATAATATGTATGTATAAGTGTACACGTGTATATGCATACTACCGATCAAAAGTTTGGAATTCCTACGTTAATAATATTCTCAGAAAGAAATTTATTACGAAAAAATGAACGAGCCACTTATACCCAATCGTAGTAAATATTTGCCAAGCAAAACATTCTTTTTCTGCTTTTTTTTTTTTTAAATCAATAAACGAGGATTGAATATTTGTCTTCAAATTGTTCTTTCATGCAAAAGAAAAAAAAAAAAATTTTCATATAATTAGATTTTAACGAATGTTTCTATTTCTAATTAAATCATTTTGTTCACATTTGTTTTTTTTTTTTTTAAATCAAAAATATCTTCTCGTTATAATATTCGATGTAACAAGGGTAGAAAATGAAAATGTTATATTTTAAAATATATAATTAAATGTAATATTTCAATTTATTAATTTATTTATTTGATTTTTTAATCGAAATCATAGAAATAATATGAAACTTTTGATCGTTACTGTATAAGAATAATAAGTACGTGTAAGCAAATATATTGTATAATATATCTGTATGAGATGTATGTTTTAAGAGGAATGGTAGAAAAAGGATAAAGATAAAGATAAAAAGAAAAGGAAAAACACACAGACACATACACACATATATACATTTAATGATAAAACCGTTAGATGTCTTCTTCGTACTCGTTTATCTCGTTGCCACCCCCTGAAAATCTCGTTCCGATAATCCGCATTTGTCGACTCGACGATCTCTTTTTCTTTCTCACACTCTCTCACATTATCTCTCTCTTTCTATTACTATTTTTTTTTCTTTCTTTTTTACTACCCTTAGGCACTCCTCGTGCAATGCTTTAACCGCGTGTTCTCGCTTTTATCGCTCGTTACACCTACCACTTTATCAACCTTTTGTAATATATATATATATATATATATATATATATATGTATATTTGTTTGTGTGTCTATCTATACATACGTGTATGTATATAAGGCTTTGAGAAATAATTCTAATACGATTAATAGAAAATTAATTGGATATCTAAATTTACTTATCGTTAGATTTCTTCAAATTGAGATGAAAAATTGTTGTTTTTTTTTTAACTTAATTAGAATCAAAACTTTTCAACCTAATCAAGTATATACATATGTATGATTATAACAATATAAATTATATAATATATAATATATTATTATTTTATTTTTTATTATTATATGTACATTATATTATATACTTATTATATATAGTATTATTACATATAATTATATTATTATTATTATTATTATTATTATTATTATTATATATATTATTATATTTATTATATCATAATCTCGCGTATAATATTATATCAATTGATTGTAAAAAAAATAAAAGAAGAAAAAAAATTGTTTTTTTCACTTAATTAGGATCAAAACTTTTCAACCTAATCAAGTATATACATATGTATGATTATAATAATATAAATTATATAATATATAATATATTATTGTTATATGTACATTATATTATATACTTATTATATATAGTATTATTATATTTAACTATATTATTATTATTATTATTATTATTATTATATTTAATTATATTATTATTATTATTATTATTATTATTATTATTATTATTATTATTATTATTATTATTATATTATAAATATTATTATATTTATTTTATCATAATCTTGTGCGTATAATATTATATCAATTGATTGTGAAAAAAAAGAAATAAATATTAATATTAAAATTATATATATTTTAATAATTCATTACTGTATAAATATCTATATTTATATATACACGTTTATAAATATGGTTGTTTTCATAGAACGCACAGAGCTACCTTATGACTGTCACGTAACACACGCATATAAACACATACATTATCTCAATTACATATATATATATATTATACATATGAATCGTATGACGATGGGACATGAGAATGTTTAGTGTGTCAACATTATTCGAAGCAGGTCGGATCATAATCGTACAGTAGGATCTTTGATGCGTCGATTTTCGTGTTGAAAGATCATCGACAGCTGAGTACAATTATTACGTATATAACATATATATATATATATTAATATTATATATAGAAAGATGAAAGAGTATTTGTTTAATATGTATAATATGTGTTGAAAATCGTTTAGAACGAGTCTAATCAATGAAGTATCTATTTCATTTATCTTTTCACATTTGATTTTTTTTTTTAATTACAATTAAACAAAATCAAAGAAGAGAGAAGAAATTGTTCAATCATTTGAAATCGTTTGACATTTAATCAACGTCTGTGTGATCATTGAAGTTAAAATTCCATCGAGTTTATTTTGATCTTTTTTTTTATGATTCGTTTTTTCTGTGTTTGTACCGACACAAACGTGTATGAAATTTTTATATATTTGTTTTATCTTTTTTCCTTTTTTTTTTTTTNTTTTTTTTTTTTTTTTTATATCGTTACCGTGACCGA